GAGATAATAACTAATACACAAAATCCGTAAAACTATCTACATTGATTAGAATTATTCAAACACCGTAATTTATATTTTTAACATTCATCATCATTTTTTTTTCACCTATTATTCAACATTTATTTTATTCTTATAATTAAAAACATAATTATCTAATAAAATTCATCATTCTATATTATCTCATATATCCTTTTTATAATTATATTTTATGAACAATAAAGTTGAAAATATTTTTAAAAATTATAATAACTAAAATTAAAAGAAATTGTAATTTATTTTTGATCCTTAAAAGAGTTTTCTTAAAAAAAAATATGATAATATTATTATAGAAACAAAATTTAATAAATTTTGATATAATTTATTTCTACAAAAAAATTTGATGTAAAATAATTGATCTCAAATAAATTAGGGTATAAAAATAAGCAAATTAACATTGTAGGTCCCTCATCTAACATTTCTATATAATAATAGTACAGTTTCCTCAGTTTTAAAAGTGTTCACGTAGGCATGTTTTATGGGTCTCACAAAGAGAAAACAAAACAAAAACAAAACAAAAATGTAGATTAAGAGTCGACTTCAAGTTACCTACTCTTCAAACAAAGTTTTTACAATTCGCTAGGCCTTCATCATCCGCCCGACTAACGTCCAGCGTCATTCCGAACATGGCTTCAGACTAATCTAAACACATAGCGACTGTTTGTGCTTCCATGAGTCGGTTTCTCTTATTCTACCTCTACGCCTTCCACTTTTACTCCCTTAATTAATTATGAACCACGTTGGTAACACCTCATGCATTCCATTTAATATATACTCTATCTAAATAGAGGAGCCCTTCATCTATGATTCTCTCGTCGATTCTTCTTCTACTCAAATTTTATTACATCTTCTCGAAAATGATTTCATCTTCTGCTCCAGTTGCTAAAGCAGTTGCGTGCCTCTCAACTTTCGACTCTCTCTACTTGGTCAAACTGCTCAGTTTGTGGTTGCTCGCCGCCTCTGTTTGTGGGATTTCCAGAACATAAAAAGGCGAATTTATGAGAATCAGAGAAGATTGAGAAGAACTTTTGGCATTTAACAAGACCACATAACAGACCCATTTTACTCCGTTAATTAATAATGGACCGCGTTCGTAACACCTCCTGCATTCCGCTTAATATATAATCTATCTTAACGGAGGAACCCTTAATCTCTGATTCTTCTTCCAATCAAATTTTATTACATCTTCTCGAAAATGACTTCATATTTTGTTTCAGTTGTTAAAGCCGTTGTATGCCTCTCAACTTTCGTTTCTCTCTACCTTGATTGAACTGCTCAATTTATGGTTGCTCGCCGCTTCCGTTTCTGGGATTTCCGGAATATATAAAAATGACAAATTTATAGAAATTAGAGAAGATTGAGAAGAACATTTGGTATTTAACAAGACTGCATATTGGTTGCCCATATATATATGACTTTTTAGAACTTTATTAACTAATACAAAATACTATAGCACGCCATATCGGTTCATCTTATATGTCAAACATCAAAAGATATAATAAAATTATAGAATACATCAATTAGGTCCCGGACCCCCGCGCTTGCGTGGAGGCTATACCCCTAGTATGTTCAACAAGAAACAATCCATGTCCTTCTATTTAGGTTTTCAACATGTCCATTGTACGCATTCAACCATTGAAAGTTGGATTCAACATGCCCATTGTACATGGTCTAAGAGGACTATACCGAAAATTGTGGGCATGGGAATTTTACCCACAGTCTAATCTGAACCAGAACCAATCCGAAAATATCTGATCTGAAACTAAACTAAAAATTGATAACTACTTAATTAAATTTAAAATTGATCTATCCAAAATACCAGAACCAAAAAGAATCAACCAGAACAGACACAAATCCAAAAAAAATAATCCAAATATATCTGATTCGTTAAGAGCCGATTCATACTCCGACCTAAAAACATAAATATTCAAAACTATGATTTCTATGTGTTATATTTTAGCAACCTTCCGTATTATTTTAATGATATATCTAAGTAATATAAAACTTTTAATTTTAAATTTAGAATTTTAAAATATTTAATTTCAATTATAAATAATTTATTTTTGATTGTTTTGTAAAATTTTAGATAAATATGATGAATTTTGGCTAAATTTATTTGTGTTGAATATTTTGAATATTTTTGATAACTAAATATCCGGACACATTATAAACCCGAGAAGTATAAGTATTTCACATGTATATTAATTATATATCTGAACTGATCTTGACTTGAACCAAAAATTTTCATTTTCAAGTACCTAACCAAGTCAAAATTATATGTAAGACCCAAGTAACTCAGTTAAAGAACGCACACCTGATCCGAAGGTTCAAACGCCCAAGTCTCTACAAAAACTGTTTGTTTGGAGGAGTACAAGTTGCACAATGCAAATACATCTTTGACTTCCTCTACCATATCTTCGCTTGGTTTGCAGCATCTAATCTATTAAAACTGAAGTATAAATATTAATTAACCCAGATTTTTTCTTAATATTTACCATCCTATGCCATTGGGTTATACACAGTCGTTTAATGCCCTGATTAAATATCTTATGTATTATTTACAAAATTTGCTATCGTGATTAACACTGATTTTAGAGTATTCGTATTTATGCTTTTACACATTTAATTCACACACTATTTAAAACCTAATTATTTTTCTCTCCCTCTTGATGGAAGCAAAGACGTCGGGATCAATGACGAGGCCGGCAAGGCTGCTGTTTGATGAAAAAGGCGAGTTCACCGAAAAGTTATGCATCTAATCAGCCCATGGAATTGCCCAAGCGTAGACTCAGATGAGAATACTATAAGAAACTAAATATCTTCTTCTTCTTTTTAATCTATTTTTCTTTTGTTCTCTTCTTTGTTTCTTTGGCAAGCATGTGTTTTTTAAACACATTGATGATTCTTTTCTAGCTTTGTTCAAGAAAAATGATTTTAGGTTTATTGGAGGACCATTTAAAATATGCTTTTCTTACTAAAAGGGCTTGATTTTGTTGCAAGTAATTAGCTATTTTAACCATGTCTCTATGTGATTCTGCTAACTAATGAGTTCCATAATATAAATTGTGAGTATAAGACTCTGTCAAGACTGTTTATTGGATAAAGTTGACTTTTGTTTAGTCTCTTTTATCTCTTATTTTGGGTCGATTGATTCTGATGTTGTTTTGTTTGATCGGTTGGGAGATCATTGCATCAAAGTTCACTGATAAGAGCACAAAGAAATACAGAAGAAACTATGGTTAAAAGTCTATTCAAAATCATCGTTTTTGGGGTTTGTGTGAGGTTAGACATATTTATATTATATAAATGAAGAGATTATAAAGTTTGTATCTAATTGTGTATGTTTGGTTTTATAGACTCAAAGATTGTTAGGGACATATTAAAAAGTTGTCTCATGTAGGTATGTATCACCAAACAAAAAAAAGAAGCTTTTGTGGTGAATGAAGTTCTAAAGATTATAAGAAGATGGTAAAATCTATAAGTCTAACAAACAAAAGTGTTTTTTAGGTGTTCTGCAGAACGAATAATCCATTAAAAATCAGGATCACAGCACTATGTAAGAAAAGAGCTAGGTATGAAGCTATGGCTAAAGAGAATGAGATTACTTCTTGCGTAAACTCAAACAACAAGAGAATGTTGTTACAAGATGGTTAAAGCTAAAATTGAATCCCCTCTTGCTAAGAAAACGAGGTGAAAAACCTGTTTTGATTTCTCTTTGACATCCCACTGATTCAAATAATAAAACTTTAAAACGTAGATTGACATGTTTTGGCCATACTCTTTATTTCGGGAAGTTAGATTTCATATTGTAAAGATATCAATAGGTATTGGGATATATTACATCTAAAAGTAGGTGTGAAGCAGCAAGTAAAAACCCTTCATTTTAGTACTTGCACATGAGAGGAGGAGCAAAATCAAACATACAGTGAAAAACAGAGTGATGGTAAACAATTTTGTGTAAACCTTTTGTAGTTGTTACATACTTTGATGTGAGAACATGTGTTAAGATGTAATAAGTGAGATAATTGAGTTTTACAGCACATAGGTAAACATAAAAGCAACCAAGAAGTGTTTCTAAAAAAAAAGATGATCCAAAGGTAACAACGGTGATGCATCATGCTGACTTCTCCCATTGATTTGGAAAGTCAGTTCAGTCAACATAGAACAAACCATGGAGAATGCCTGGACGGTAATTCGGTTTTGCTGTAATTTGAAAATAGTTTCAAGAGGTTGTATAACACATCATTACATGATCTTTTATGGATTTTCTGATAAAAACCACCTGCACAAGCGCACGGATCAAACTGGAGAAGGATCAGGAACAACGTGTGATGGTAATGATCATGTAAGAAAACAACATAAGAACCAACATGTTCTCTACACAATACAGATTATGTCGGAAAGACATCATTAACTGGATTTAGAAGGCCCAATACATAAGGAGGACGTCGGAAAAGCCCAAAACGAATTTAGGCCGAGGATGATGGATAGTGAGCACACGTGGCAAGCGGCTGATGAAAGGGACGAACATTCGTGTGGGATGTTGGAAAACGACGATGACTCGTTTTCACCTAATACACTCGTCGGCTTCTACCAGCCACCGGGGACATATGCATCCCTCCAAGATTTTTTATATTTATATATTTGGATTTAGAGTTATCTCACTCAAACTGTTGAATTTGTCCAAGTCAGTGGCTGAGATAATCACTGCATATCCCATTCATATCCAATGGTATTGATCCGAATAAGAAATAAAGCAATGTCAACTTTTTTTTTTTGGGGGTCAAAAAAGCAATGTCAACTATAAGTTAGATTATCTTCTCCAATAATAAGCACGAGGTTAAAAAAATAGTAAGTTAAAAGATGCTGATGAAGATGATGATGTGTCAAAAAATGTTGTGCTTGCATACTAATTACCATTCCGTTTTATCTACGGTGATTCTCGTAGTTGCTTTCTCTCTCTTCTCTCTTTATCCCGACAAAACAGAGAATGCTTTCTTTCTTCTCTCTCTCTATCTTAAAACAGAGAGATCTTAAAAGAAGACAAAATCTTTACCACCAGACAAGATCCTCTTCTTCTTATTACATGTAATCACATAACTTTCTGGGGGAACAAAGACTTCGTTTAATTCTTTCTTAATTTTCCTCCGATGAAGTGTAAACGACACACCGTCGATTCCACCAGTACCGTCGGCGTCTGCTCTTCTTGCCTCCATGAACGTCTCCTCTCCCTCGCCGCCTCAATCGCCGTCGAAGATAACAACAACAACAACCATCGTCAATCAAGAAAATCTAGTAATCCTCCTCCTCCCCTCCTGATCCCCCCTCGCTCCGACGCCGCAGCAGCAGGAGGAGATCTCGAATTGAATCGACCGGAGAAATCGAAAGAGGGTAAAGTTACGAGAATCTCGAATCCATTCAGAGCTAGATCTGATTCCAATCCCAAATCGGAATCTTCTTCTTCTACTACGTCGTCGCGGTCGTGGATCTCTTCGTTTCTCTCCACCGGTCGCGCAAAGAAGCAACACACCTTCGAGGACGGAATCTCCGGATGTCGAGGAATGTCGCCTGCTAGAGAGACGGGAGGGGAGGATGGCAATGAGGTGCCTTATGGATCGATTGAGGAAACTCCGGGGAGAGCGAGGAGAACTACTCCGGCGGTGAAAACTCCGGGGAGGAGGAAGATTATGACGGGGATGGGTTTCTGTTTGAGTCCGTTGGTGAGGGCGAGGCCTAACTGTCCTTTTAAACGGAAAAGTAGGTTTCCGTCGGAGTTTGTTGGAAATGCTGGGGAGGTGACTGCGGGGGAGAAGCCGCATATCGCTGAAGCGGCGTCGTTTGTAGCGAATAGGTCGAAGAAGCTCGTGGATTTGGGTAGAGGGAATCAACGACGTTGAGTTTTTGGTGGGGTTTGATCACCGGCGACAAGGTTCGTGTGTTTTCCAGCGATGAATGGTTTCCTTGTGAGTAAGGTTTGGTGGGATTCTCTCTATGCATTTATGTTTCATGGTTGATTCCTTATGTGACATTGGGACTCTGTCTCTTGCAATCCCTAATGTTTTTTTCCTTTTTAGTAACCAGCAGACAAGACGCTCTTTTTGGTGGGGGGAGGTGGTTTAAAGGTGTAGTGCCAAGTCTACTATTGATGCTGATTTCGCTACGAAGACACTCAAAGTCGAATGCCAAGAGAGGTGCGATTACGTTTTTTTCTCTTGTTTTTTTTCCTGCTTGGTTGATATGGTTCGTTAGGATAAGGTCTCGAAATCATCCCTGTGGTTTCTCAGCTGGGGATCATTGTGCCTTTACCAGATGTTTCAGTTTAGGTCGAATTTTGATCTTTGTGAATCATATCAAGTGTCACTGTTCGTACTTGTTTTCTACAATCTTTGTTTGATGAGAAGCCCTTAGATGTAACTTGATTTCTTGCACTTTTAAGTATATTGTGCAACTTGTGATGGTGGTAGTTCATATCATTTGTTTTCTTGGTCCATTCACAGAACTGAAGTAGCCGATATATATCTATAAGCCAGGATTTAAGTTTATAGTAATACTATTTCTAGTTTTCCAAATAAAGTTCTTCTAAATTTTTAGCCATTTAGCAACTGAGACTGACTGATTAATCTAATATCGTTGATGGTAGCACCAAAACTTGTCTAACCTGGTACTCTGCAAAACAAGCTTAATCTGTAACCGAGTATGGGGAAGCTTGTAGTTTTATCGTAGATGTTGACTCATGCTAGTACTAACTGGACACTCACTTGAGAGATGTCTAATATCATTAAATCTTTGTATTCTCTCTGTCTATGTTTCAGTTGCCCTCTCTAAAAGTTAGGTGCATTTTTGTTAGTTTCAGGCACTTTTTAAGAAGAGATAAGTTCTGTCTATGGATGCGAACAAGCTGGACACTTGCTTGAGAGATGCATGCATATATAAGCTTGCTCCCTGAAGAATGTTCCAGCCTCTATGCAACATCTTGGCCTTAGTTCCAACAAAGCTGGCTGTTTCAACATCTCCTCTCCAAAATGTTGCATTGGTGCTACTGTGCACAATGTCTATTTTGATGTTTTCTATCTTGCTGCAACTGGGAGAGGGTAAAGAAGAGAGTCATGTGAACCAGGAGAGCTTCAAGACTTTTGTGTGTGATTCTATACATACTAGTACACTCATATTCAAATTTTTTTGGGCCTAGTAATGGGCCTTATAATAGACCAGTTATATATCATTTATGATTAGTAAATCAATACCAGAACATAGCAAAACCAAACCAAAAAATATCCTTAAAGCCTTTTTCAGACACTGTTTATATATACAGACCAAGGGAAAGAATAAAACGTGAGACTCACTCATAACTATCAGAGTCACACACCTGAAAGCCACCGGAAAAGCTCGCTAATCTCCTCTCCAGCATGATTCGCTTCCAAGTCAACCACCATCTCCTCACTCCTCCTACTACTCCCTGTGAAAAACCTCCCAGAGCTCCTAAACGACATCGCACGAGACGAAACACCACGCGAGAGCCTGTCCACGTAATCCTTAAGCCAGCTTCTTGAACCTTCGTTACCACCCCCTATCTCCCCCGCCAAACTCGCTTCAAACGCTGCATTAGAATTCGACGTCGTAACCGCAACCGCAGTCGCGTCTCCATGTTTTCGCGGCGCGTTTCTCTGACTAATGTTCGACTCTGATATTTCTGAATCCACGTCGTCCACAACGTAATCAAACGATCCGATCGAGTAAGACCGGTGCTGGTCGCCGGATTCTGGAGTCGGATTGTTGCGACGGCTGATGGATCCAATTTCGAGACGGAAGCTGTTATCTCCTCCTCCACCGCCGTTGTTGTTTACAAGAGAGGCGGAGGTGTTAAGAGCCTTCATGAGATCAGACTCTGACGCGAACAGAGGAGAGCGACAGAGAGGACACGTTTGGTTCGCCTTAAGCCAAATATCGATACAATCCGCGTGGAACGCGTGGCAACACAAAGGAAGAAGACGAAGCTGATCGTCAGGTTCGAATTTCGACAAACAAACGGCGCAGTCGCTGGAGTTAGATGCGGTAGATCGGCGAGTGACGGAGGAGAATTTGAAAACCGGGAGCGAGTCTAGCACCGAGGAACGTTCCGTCTCGGGAGAGACTCGTCGAGTGGAGAATCTGAGTGACTCGGAGGAGGAGGAAGTGTAAGAGGGAGAGAGAGGAGAGTGGTGGCTACAGCGGTTAAGGCAACGGAGGAGGAAGCAGATGGAGACGGAGATGAGGAGAGTCATGAGGAGGATGAGGATGATTACTAGGACGCTAGGTTTTAGACTGTCGAGAGATGAAGAGTGAGAATCGCCATGGCTAGGGTCGATGAGAGACTCCATTGAGATGAGAGAGAGAGGGAGGGAAGAAGAAGATGAGTGTGTTTGTATTAATGGTGTTGGTGAAGGGAGAAGAAAGGGAGGAGGGCACGTGAGAAAGTCATGGTCTATGAAAGATTTATAAAAGAAGAGGGAGAGAGAGAGAGACAGAGAAATAAATGTTACCGAACCAACTCTAACTGTCGATATTTAATACCATAAAGTTAAATCAAATCAATGGCCTCTTTCGGTTATTAGCTACTAGCTTTCATTGTATTTGTGTTTTTTCTTTCCACCATCTATTCTAAGGTACATGTATATTAACATTTGGTAAGGTTATAAATCTGAGGAAGGAGACATGTAAACATTAAAGGTTGCCCTACTTATTTACTGATTTTTGTACAGTTGACTTGTCTTACTGATATGTAAGACGGGAGAAATTAAAAAAATATATATATTTGTGTATAAGCGTTTTTGTGTGATTGCGAGCAAAAAGAATATTACACCACTCTAATATTTTTTTTTCTTTAAAATAGAATAATTATATTAAAGATGTAAATTTTATTTTAATGTGTATCTGAAAATAGTATATTGTTTATATAACATAAAATGATATTTTAAGTTTAAAGAAAAAAATAACAATATTTTTAGAAAAATAGCCATAAATTAGAATAAAACTTTCTTTATCATGTCACTGGATTTTAAAAATATTACTAAATTAGAAATTGTTTTACATCAAAATAGTAATTTAACCTGTTATAGTGGTGAATTGGCTAATGCTATATGTAGTTAGATATGCTGTGACTAAATTGATTGTTTGAGGATATATGTTTTCCTTAGTGGATACAATTATCTTGTCTTTTCATTATTTGGAGGCTTTGGTACCATTTCTTGAGTCTTCCCTTTATGCTTACCTTGTTGAGCCTAAAAACAGATCGATTCCCTTTTTGACATTTTACCCGATTCTTATGATTATTGTTTTCACTTTATGTGGCTTTTTATAATTAAAAACACACATATATCATACGCTATGATTTTTTTTTTCACACTGTCTTTTTCCGATATCCATTAGTAGTTTCTGCGGCCAAGTGTTACAAAATCCGAGAATTTGATTTATGCAATAGAACCCGGAAAAAGGTTTGTCTCCTTGCGTGAACGAAATCACGCTTCAAGAAAAGTAAACCGGTTTAAATGGGGTAAAGTACCACATTTGTTAACAATGATAATCATTTTAATCTAATCATATACAAAAAAATATTTATGAACGATGAGGTGGTTCCTTTATTATATAACAAGCATTTTAGAGGTTACATATTCAAATAATATTAAAAATATGTTTTTCAATTGAAAATAAAATCACATGATAAAACTTTATTTTATGGACCTACAAACTCACACTATTTTAGTCATTGAAATATAAATATATTAGGCTAAAGACATAAAACCACATTTATATTTGGATCAGAAGTCACATAGATGTAATGAGCAATGGTCAGGAAATAGTATCTTATATAAATTGCTCCATATATGACTCAGGAAACAGTGAAAATGCGATGACATTGTGAAAATGAAAAATATATGTCAGTAATTAATAATCTCTGACAAAACAATAAAGCAATATTTAAATTTACGGATTAACATAATGTACAACTGGCAAGGATATGTTTAATCAGAATTAATCCGTTGCTCTGTTAATCTAAAAGAAAGATAACACAGTGTTTGAAACATATCTTATTTGTGTTTGTAAATTATATGAATAGAATGTTTATAAACATTCTATATTACACACAGAACCTTAATTAATTCATATCGTGGTCAATTGATTCCAAAGAAATCTCGGTACGGGCCAAATCAAAAACTATATATTATATGAATTCCACAAAGTTAGTTGGCTTAGAATTAATACGACTCCGCAGGGGACATGTGAACACAGCTCTTATTAAGATATGCATGATCAGAATGACACTTGTAATATTAAGTTCATCACGTAATGCATAGACGTAGCCAGACACGTGACTACTCATTATTGGATATTATTGTTTTTGGCTTGTATCTGTATTTTTTTGTTTGCGTAAATAAAGGTTGCAGTTGCACGTTCGTAGCATGCCTCGTTACTCCATTAAGGTATAATAAAATCAATATTTGGTGTTTCCACGGGTTGTGTTTTATACAATACGAAGATAGTCTATCCAGAAACTATGCCACCAAATACGTAAACTGCATGTAGATACAACCTGTCTGGAAGCTTTTCATCTGACCTGCGATTTAAATAACTTACATCCATAATATACAACCATCTCTGGATGTTCGACTAATCATTCATTAGGTTGCTAACACTAACACTCGTCAGCAATCAATTTTACATTAATACATATGAATTCATCTAATTTATTTTCTTAATGAAATACTATACGACATAGGAATACTATAATATGACTTTCCAAAAAGTAGTATAAATGTTGTTATATCCGAACTTGGGACTGATTTTGGGTACATCCGGATAAAACCATCGTTTTAAAATCTAAAGTTTGAAGAGTTATTACACATGTCCCATAGTTTTTGAATAGTTTTTATTTTATCAAGATTATCACAAAAATATTTATGGTCCCATAATTTTCATATCCGTCATGCTCAGAGATATGTCTATTTTCATGTTATTTGTAAGTCTAACCCGTAAATGCAAGCGAATAACCATAGTCAAATTTTCTTTGTTACTAAATTTTTACCATGGACCATTTTCTAGAGGACATGTTTTCATTGCTGTAGAATTTAGTAGCTGCTTATTAAATCAATGTAACGAGGATATGAGAGAAACACGGTGGTGTGCTCTTGTGACTGGACCCCTTGAAAGGACAACCAAGTCATTAAAACAGACAACCTAACTTTTATTCATCTAAACCATGAATTTTCCACGTCACCTATCTATTCACTTTCCAAATCAATTTGATTTTGTCTACTTTACTTGTATTGCACTCTAAGCATGTTCTTTTTCTAATCTACAACTTGAAAAAAAAACTGATTCTCTCCATTAACTTAGTCTATTTCTTAGCTCCCTGGCTCAAAGTCAAAGGGTCCCCCAAAAAAAAAGCAGCCTAAAGCTCATAGACAGATCGAACAATCGTGAAGCGAGATGATTAAAGGGTAGGCTCAAAAAAATCTAATCAGATTTCATAGTGAGATCTTGAGAATACTCTGAATTTCTACATTTAACAACCACAACGTATCATAAATTATTCTTGAGATAGTTAAGTGAGGTTTAATCTTGCAGAGATGGAGGATTAAACAAGTGATATATATTACAACACAAGTAATACTTATGCTCAAAGAAAAGACAGCACAACCGACAATACGCACCGTTTTAAGTAAAGCGATATTTTAGGCGACTGGCGATCAAGGGATTTCGATGAGTTCGGCGGCTTCGCCGGTCGTCTCTGGCTCTTTATCGGAGCTTGGAGATGAAATTTCTGGTTGTATCAAGGAGGGGAATCATGGTGTACCACTCTCGGGAAAGGATTCTGAGAAGCGTGGAAAGGGTTTGGAGCAGGAGGGTAGCGAGAAACGTGTTGAGGTTGTTGATCAGATAGTGGAGGGTACTGATGTCTCGAAGCAAGACTGTGTTGAGACTAACAATCTCCCAGATCAAATCAAGAGGGGTATTCCTTCATATGTGGAGGTCGCGCAAGAGAAGAAAGTGCTCAAAAGGTATGAGGTAAACATTATGGAGAAAGAGGGTCAAAAGGAAGTTGAAATCCCAGATTCAGTTATTGATGATGCGAATCTGTTGTGGGAGGATTTCCTTATTGGCAAATTCTTAGAAACGGCGCCACATATAGCAAGAGTCCATGCTATTGTTAACAAGATTTGGTCGCAAGGTGGTGGCTTTCAACGAATAGAGGTGTTTGAGGTTGATTCCACAACAATGAAGTTCTGTATTCCTAACCAGCAGGTGCGTGCAAGGATTCTTCGTAGGGGTATGTGGAATATTGGTAATATCCCAATGGTTGTCTCTAAATGGACACCAGACGAGCTGAAGGAGAAGCCAGAAGTCAAGTCCATCCCACTCTGGGTCTACCTAAGGAATGTGCCAATGAATATGTTTTCTTGGGAAGGTCTCAGTTTCATTACAAGTCCAGTGGGGGTTCCTGTGAGGTTGCATCATGAAACTGCTTCCTGCTCTAATTTCAAGCTTGCAAAGGTTTTCGTTAATGCTGATCTGACTAAGGAGCTGCCAACAAAAATAAATTTCACGAAGAATGGTAAGTCAGCTCTTGTGGAATTTATCTATCCAAGGCTTCCTCTGCGATGTCATAAATGCAAAAAATGGGGGCATGATGACAAAGTTTGTGTGATGAGAAAGGACATGGGTACTGGTATTCAATCTCAGCAGAAGGTTAGAGGAAATAAGAAAGATGTTGGATCAGATAGGTCAGTTCCTAGTCCTCTGGTTAAGGATCTGACTGTTGAAGAAAATGAGATTGAAGAGGGTCAGATTGTGGAAGGTGGGACGCAAATAGCTTCAAACAGTCACGTGAAAAGAACTCTAAAATATGGTGAGGTTGCAATTCTGACACCTTCCAGGTTTTCTATTCTTAACGAAATAAATGATGAAGGGGTGCTAGTTAATCATAAGGAGGAAGTTATGGATGTAGAGGAGTCGAATATATTGGAGAAAAGCTGTAATTTGGAGGAATTGTCGGGAAAAGAAAACCATGGGGAAGCCTGCAACTCGAACGAATATCTGCAGAGTTGTTCTTTGGAGGTACTGATGGGGGTGGAAGGTACTGATGGGAATAAAGTAGTCAACAAAGAGAATAATAAAAATGTGGATGAAATAGCAGTTAATACTTTGCAAATTAGTGAAGTGCCTGTTGTGGTGGATTCCAGCAGTGATGTGGAAGGGGTTGTTGTGGCGGATACTAGTAGTGTTGTGGCAGCAGCTGTTGTTGGGGCGGTTACTAGTAGCGATGAGATTGGTCATGTTGTTGTTGCTGATTCGAAAGGCGTAGAGAAGTCTCCGACTTATAGTGATATTGTGAAGACTGATGTGAGGGACATTCAGCGTAAACCAGCTACTACTGATTTGGTGACTAACAATATTCGACCTTCTCTTCCGAGAAATTCGAAAACAAATCATAAGGTTTTCCATGACCTCCCGGTTTATGGTAATCAAGGCAGGAAAGCTTCGCGGAAAAATTTTTAATGACTGGATTCTTCTGG